GCCGACAATGTGGGGAGTGATGATTCGACTTTGTGGTTTATATTTCAAGATTTTTCTTTTCAAAATGGGTTGTATGGATGTGTTTGGCAATAGAAGTCCAATGCTAATGGATTGGTATACACTAGGTTTTGATATCAAATGATGTAGCACAGAAGTAAGGATAGGTTTGCTTGATAACATCCAAGCTTATATGAGTACTTTGATAACATCCAAGTTAGATTAATAACCTAGAATCTTCTAGAATTTCACTAGAATCTACTCAAACACACAAAATCTTGGAATCCATAAAGAAGAAAATTATTCATTAAAGGAAAATATAGAGTTTGTTAAGAATTGAATGTCTACTTTCCAGTTCATAGAGCTTACATATATATGGTGGTTCCAACGCTAATCCTAAAATAACAAATGACTACTAAAAAGGAAATCAAGTACTAAACTAATTAAGACAATCCTTCATTAAATAGGAAAGCATATCACGAGTAGTTTAGAACATAACTTGCAACTAAATTAGGAATATTTTTTTAAAAATAAACTAAATTAGGATATTATTATGACAATACTAAAATTCTACTAGCCTGTTTAGGAATATCAATGTAAAATAAGTAATAAAAATTTTAGTAATAGTAAAACTAATAGTACTAATATAATTCTTCATTGAGTTGCTGCTCTTCCCTTGAGGGTTTTCTTTCTATGTTCCTTAGCAAGTTGAGTTGAAAAAGGAAGCTACGGTTGGAACTCTCTTTGATTGTTTACTAGACTTCCTAGAGATGTTACGCATCTCTTCCCAGACTTCATCTTCCATTCGGGACAGATTTATCTTTTTTGCTTCTTTCTGGACCAAGGCTCATGGTTTTCTAGGGATATCTCTTTGGCTACTTTGCAGCAAGCTTGGAGAACATCATTGTATTGATTTTTATGAATATTCATTCTTTTTCCTTTGCTTTTAGTACGAATCCTCTGTCATTCTACTTTTTTTCTTATATCTTTAGTAGAACTTTTTCAGTTGAAAGGAACCTTGACAATATGGAACCATTTAACATCAGTGGCCTATTTGGCCCTAGGTAGATGCACTAGTACCCAAGCACCATTATTGTCTAACACCAACATCTCCTCCACAGCACCTCACTGACCATGATGAGTTTTGCACTATATGTAAAGTTTTTTTTTTTTTAAAGTAAAACACTGTATATAAAGTTCCAGGAACAGAAACAGAATCTAGTCATCTAGAGAAGCTAGAAAAGCACGTGAAGATGGAGATTTATGCGCATAAGCAAAGAAAGAAATTGGATGAAAACATTACATTTTATATACGTGAAAGGCAACAGGACAATAAAGATTAGCATATTTAGATGGAGAAGTTGATGGAGAAGATGAGTCTGCCAAGTACATTGTGATTAAAGATGAAGTTTTACAAGCACATCATCGTCCTCACAATTATAAATTGTCAGTTTAGAAAAAGTCGAGCGGTCTCAAAAAATGTTACGTTAATGGAAATCAAATGACAACTTAAGGTTGGAGAATAATACTATATCCCTACTGAAGTCATGAAAAAGCCTTGGGGTTAACATCATGAACAGAAAGACAAACATCCATACACTCCAGATATGGAAATAAGAATTGTAAAGAAAATAAAACACCGTTAGGAGTATCATTGGCAAGACAAGACGCCAAGATGTAGAAACAATAATGATCCAGAATTACAAGTTATTTTGATTCCAATGTAGAAGTCATAAGTTAGAAACACTTCCGATGATGATTTGTTCTGAAATCATCATTAAAAGTTAGAAACACTTGGAAGTCATGAAAAAGAACAGAAAGACAAACAAACATACCCACGAGATCAAGAAATGAGGACTGTAAAAAAAATAGAACACCCTTAGGATTATCATTGGCAAGACAAGATGCCAGGCAGTAGAAACAATAATGATCAAGAATTATTAAGTTATTTTGATTCCAATGTAGAAGTGATAAATTAGAAACATTTCTAGGGATGATTTGTTCTAAAATCATCCTTAAAAGTTAAAAACACTTCGAAATCATGAAAAAGAACTGAAAGACAAATAACCATCATCCTTAAAAGTTAAAAACACTTCGAAGTCATGAAAAAGAACAGAAAGACAAACAACCATGCCCACGAGATATGGAAATAAGGACTGTAAAGAAAATAGAACACCTTTAGGAATATCATTGGCAAGATAAGATGTTAGGCTGTAGAAACAATAATGATCCAAAATTACTAAGTTATTTTGATTCTAATGTAGAAGTCATAAGTTAGAAACACTTTCAAGGATGATTTATTCTGAAATCATCCTTAAAAGTTAGAAGCACTTCGAAATCATGAAAAAGAACAGAAAGACAAACAACCATGCCCGCGAGATCTGGAAATCAGGACTGTAAAGAAAATAGAACACCGTTAGGAACATCATTGGCAAGACAAGATGCCAAGCTGTTGAAACAATAATGATCCAAATTTACTAAGTTATTTTGATTTCAATGTAGAAGTTATAAGTTAGAAACACTTCTAAGTCATGAAAAAGCCTTGGGGGTTAATATTATGAACAGAATGACAAACAAACATGCACACGAGATCTGGAAATAAGGACTGTAAAGAAAATAGAACACCGTTAGGAATATCATTGGTAAGACAAGATACTAGGCTGTGGAAACAATAATGATCCAGATTTACTAAATTATTTTGATTCCAATGTAGAAGTCATAAGTTAGAAACACTTCTAAGGAAGATTTGTTCTGAAACTGGGGAAACAATTTCTTTCTAGTAGACACAGACTGACGCCGCAGCCTATAATGATGGTAAAATAGAACCATAGTGTTAGAATATGCAATAACTTTTGGTGCTATAGGACATTTGTACTTCCATGTCGTTGTATTTTGCAAAATACTATTGAATAGAAGGAAAAAGAATTACCTCCCCGTCCACTCTTTTAAAATCCAAAAGATACTTAGGGAGAGCCTAGAATATGCAATAGCTTTTGGTACTATTGAACATTCACACCTCCATATTGTTGAGTGTTCACAATACTAACAAATGGAAGGAAAAAAATTAACTCACTGTCTACTCATTTGAAACCCAAAAAATATTAGGGAGAGCCTTTCTTGATGATAAAATTTCTTAAATATATGTATGGATTAGGAGGAATCCTCTTGTTAGAGTACAAGCGAGTTGGATAGTATATAAGATCTTTGACATATTCACCGTGATTGGTTAGACAAATGACCGCATTGTCGATAAAACTTCAAATTTGCACAAAATCCTTAAATCCTCTCTTAACCAAGTTTTTTCTATTCCAATAGTAGAAGGTGGGTTATTCATAAGAAGATTATCTTTATCAATGTTGCAAAACTAGCAGTTTTACTCTACTCTAGATTGGCCATTTAGTGTACAGTTATCATCATTGATGTAGGAAAAACATCTTATATTACAATTTTGCTGTCCATTTTGTCCACCACTGAAAGAGACCCAATAACAGTGTGACTTAACTCTCTCTATCAGTGCTTGACGAAATAAAGGATTTACATTGGCTTGGGTGGCTTAGCCGGTTATTGACTCAATAGCAACAATGATGGGCTCAACTAGGATATAACTTAAAGGAAGAGCTTAAGCTCAAAAAGGGTATCAACCGTGCTTTGTACCATGTTGATTTGGCAATAACACTCCTCTTTGTCTTTTGTTAGAAGGAAGTGATACATATTATATATATGGATGGTTGACCTGCTTTTTATCTTCTAACTGTGTCCCCTATAACTATGAAAATATATGAATTGGTATAAATTCATGAATGCTTATAAATATATGAATCTAGCATATATAAAATCTCACTTTGTTTACAACACTTGTCAAGGTGCAAGTAATTTAAACTTGGTGTGCTGAGGCATAATTTTGTAGGTATAGGAGTACCTCATTGATAACTCTCCCCTTGAACATTTCTCATACTTGGCCTTAATCTATCTTGAAATCAGAATTTGATGAACACTAGTTACCAACATTTGTAAACTGACTGAAAGAGGAAGGAAATGGATATCAACGTCATCAGGATTTGAGGATTCTAGGCCTTGTGTTGTCGCGATTCATAAGCCATGTATACATCTAATGATTCTAATAACAATTACATTACTATCTATACCTTTTGCATATGTTAATAGGACTAGGACAAAGATCCTAAGATTTTTATGTTGATGTGATAATATGAAACAACATAGAACTCTCTTCTAATGCCCCTATAGAAAATATTTTTTAAATATTGGTTGTATGAGCTGAAAAATAGAGCAAAAATTTTTTGTTTCAGATCTAATCAATGGTTTGAAGAAAAACAAGTTCACTGCCATTGAAAGTGATGAGATCTCTTCATTCTTCAAACTGGCTTTTGTTCGTCTTGAAGCATGGTTCCAATGGTTTAATACTACCCAATCAGGTACCTTACAGGGTTTTTCTTCCATATTTTCTTTTTCGAAAAATTTATTGGTTATTTTTAATGCAGTTCTTTGAATGTCTTTGGTCCAGCTAGTTTTTTATGCTAGGAGTAGTTAAAAATGTTGTGAGAATGACTCAGTAAAAATATTTTTGATGTAAAGCTGTATTGTGTTTGATCAAATCTGCCATCTAAATTGTTATCAATGTCAAATGTGTTATTATAGTTAATTAATTATGTTGTAAAATTAGTAATAAATATTGAAATGATAAAAAATTGAATAATAGTAAAAAATAACTATTACAGGTAATTTAAGATTTTTTTTAAAATTTTTATTATAGTATAAATTAATTTTAAACTTTTCATTGTTTTAATTGTTTATTCATTTTATTTAATAAAAATATTAATATTAATTCTTCATTATTTATTTTTTATTTAAAATTATTTGTTATGTTACAATAAATACTAGATTATGAACTAGAAATTAATACTAGATTATGAACAAGAAATTAATAGGCTTCTCTCCTCTCCCTCTCTCTCCTCTCTCCTCTCTCCCGTCCTAAATCTCCCAACTCTACAAGCCCACTTCCCTTCACCATCATCTCTACCTCTCCCCTTCTTCACTTGTCTAAATCAAAGGAAAGTCCGGCCGACCGGCTCGAGAATCACGATATTGCATGATTACAACAAAATATTTGTCCTGATTAACAAAAAATCCTTCGACGTTGTTAGGAATGGAAGGCATCTTAACGGCTTGAGAATCTACGAAAATGGTCATGATCTTAGGGTTTTGATCTCGCTTGACAAAACAGAAGTGAAATGGCTCGTTGATTCATTAAGCATTTTTTACTGGTATAAAAGGGAGGCCACCTGGGTAAAGAAAATAGTTGGCTGCTCACGCACCATCTATCTGGCCTTATGTTGAAACCAGAATGGTCGTTTTCTTGTCTTGTCTGAACAGAAAAACAAAGGGTATAGACGAATCTTTATCCTCGATGGCTTCTAAGCTGAAGATTGGTGGCGATTGATAAAATTTATATTTGAGTTAGTAGATGTTATCTTAATCCATCCTGAAAAAAGAGCAAACCCTCTTAAGCCAAACCTTACAACGTACTCTCTTGTAATCTGACTCCTCATTCAAGGTCGTCGTCAGTTTTTTGTTGTCCACATTGCAAACAGTGCCTATGTATCGAAGTGAGGGCAGAGAATCGAAAATCCTACACGAAGATGCTGCAATCGGGGCAAGCGTTGACCTCTCGGGTGGAGAATAGACAACCCAACTGTCTGAAACTCAGAAGGGATTTGAATTGCAAATTCCCCTTTCATCGAGCGGGCAAGAGAAAGATCCAATAAGGCCAAGCTCAATCAAACCGAACAAATAGAAACCCAAATATTCTAGAGAAGAGAGAAGCAAATGGATCGCACAGGATGAGTTGAGTAAGGTTATATAAAGAAAAAGAAAAGCCCAAAGGTGAAGTGGATGTAGAGGCCCAAAAAGAAGAAAAAATCCTCCCCGACCAAACCACCCCGGTTTGAGGATATACCCGGCCCATCTGGAGTTATTAAAGATAAGGAGGATTCGCTCGACCCCCCAGTTGCGTCTTGCAAATCAAATGTTAGGGCTCCTTCTCTTTCCTCCGACTTTCACCCTCCTGTCGATGCTAAACCTATCTTTGACAAGATGAATCTAGATTTGAGCAACAGCAGGGACGAAATGGAGACTCCTGTCATTCGTGGAACAAGAAGAGATGAATTTCCCTCAAGGTATGCCTAATCTCTGTAACTCTTTTGGCTTGGAGCGAGTTCTCCTCCTGTAACTTATTTTTGTTGAACAACAGAATTTCTTCACAAAATTGGAGCAAAACTTTGCCCTCCGAGTCGGGCTATCATTGGTGAGCATCCCTACTCTTCGTGGGTTTTACAAAATGTTCAAGAATGGGGAGCTGCTATGGGGGTCACGTTTGAAGAATTAAAAAAAATTATTTTCTATCTATTCTCTGAGAGTCAAGACCAAGGTGGATGCCCCACTTGGAAAATCAAAGAAAAAAACCAAGACACGGTGAGATCAAGGAATTGAAGAGGCTTCACTCATCTATTAACTATGATGGTCGAAGAAGAATAACTCATCGAGGGGTGAATTGATGATCTTAAAATGATAGGAAACACTCTCTCTTGGTACGTGTGGGGTCTAAATGACGATAAAAAAAGACTTATTATTAAAGGATGTTTATGTAGGTGGAAGCCAATGGTGGTGTGCCTGCAAGAGACCAAATTGAGTCTAATCAACAATGCAACTATCAAAAGTCTGTGGAAAATCAAAGATGTTGGGTAGCTGCATCTCTCTGCTATGGGTTCAGTTAGGGTCATCGTGATCATGTGGAATAAAGACTCTATTGATTGTATCGATTCGTGTGTTGGTAAGACTACTATCTCCTACAAGTTTGTAAATAGAGTTCAAAGGCTTGAATGGTATTTTACCGGGGTGTATTGTTGTGGCAATAGAGATGAGCGTATAGCTCTGTGGAAGGAGTTAGCTGACTGTCAAGACAAATGGAGCAATGTGGGTGTTGTGGGATCCAACAATCAATTCTCTGCATCTATCTCGAAAGAGTTTAATGATAATTTGGAACTCCTTAATCTGACTGATCTATCTTTAATGGGTGGTTCCTAAACTTGGAGCAATCAACAAGCAACCCCATCATTCTCCAGAATTAATCATTTCCTAATTAGTCCATTCATCCTCCTCAATTTACTAGCTTTATGTCAAAAGGTACTCCCTAGACCTATTTTTAATCACTTTCCTATTTTATTAGTTGATGATGGGATTGTTTGGGGTCCAATTCCTTTTTATATTGACAGTAAGTGTTTGAAAATTGAAAGTTTCAAGGAAATGGTCTGGAGGGTTTGGAAAAATTCCACTGTTTTGGGGCCGGGCAGTTTCAAGATTATGCATAAGCTTAAGTATCTCAAAAATGCTATCAAGATATGGACCAAAGAGGTGGGTCTCAAGGATGAGAAAGATATCAACATTCTTATGGAGGAACTGGCAACTCTTAAACAACTTGATGGTTCCTCGGGGCTAGTTCAGGAAGATAAAAATAGAGTTAATGAAAAATTGACCTAACTCATAGGTTACACTTGAAGTCTATCTCCTGGAAACGGAAATCTAGAGAAAAATTGTTAAAAGAAGGGAACATAAATACAAAATTCTTTCACTATCTGGCCAATCACAGAAGGAGATCAAATTATGTCGAGAAGTTGTGTTTAAATGGAGATATTATTTCTGGTAATGAGGAATTGCGAGAGATTGCCAAAGTTTTTAATCAAATCTCTACACCGAGGACTTTTCCCTGCGCCCAAAACTGGATAGTTTGTATTTTGATACAATTGACAATGCCAATAGAAAGTTGTTGGAAGTGAAACTTGCACAGGACGAGATTTTATTGGCTTTTAAAAGCTGCAATGGTGATAAAGAACCTGGACCGGATGGGTTCAACTTCAAATTTTTATTAAATTTCTGGTCATTGCTCAGAGAATATATGATCAACTTATTTATGACAATTTAAGAGATTCTGAGCAAAAGAAATTTTTTGTGTTCTTCATGAAGAAGAATTCTCATTATATATACAAATATACAAACTAATTTTCAATTCCTAAATTAGCTAAATAAATCTGTCCTAATTAAAGTTATTAAATCTATATAAGTCATAAAATTAGATATAAAATTTACTAACTAATTAATTGCATAATTTGCTGGCATAATTGTTTGAAATCTGCTGATTAATTGTATAAAATCTGCTGCCATATATCTTGGTTAATTACATATAATTTGTTGTCGTAATTGTAACAAATTTGTTGATTAACTATATAATATCTGCTAATTAATTATATAAAATCTACTGGCTAATTAATTGTCAGTTAATTCTTTTGACATTCCCCTTCAAATTGATGCTGGTAAATTTACAAGTATCAATTTGCTAACAAGGAAGTTATGGTGCTAACGTGTCATAGACTTAGTAAAGAGATCCGCAATCTGTAGACTTGTGGATATATGTGGAAGGGTAATAACTTGACGATCATATGCCTCTCGGATGGAATGACAATCACTTTTTATGTGTTTCGTTCTTTCATGGTAGACAGGGTTGGCGGCAATTTGGATCACACTAGTGTTATCAGTGTGTAGTGGAATAGGTTGAACTTGTGAGAAACGAAGCTCTGTAAGTAGACCACGCAACCAAATGATCTTGAAACATGCAGTAGACACGGTTCGCTACTCTGCCTCAGTGGAAGACTTGGATACAAAGTCTTATTTCTTACATTTCTAGAGATAAATGCATCACCAAGAAACATACATCATCCAGTAGTAGATTTCCTAGTGTCTGAACACACTGCTTAATCGACGGACTGTTGATATGTGGAGATGTCGAGGAGCTTGCATGAACTTGCTAACGATGCGGACAACATAAGAAATGTTTGATCGGGTGATGGTTAGATAGACGAGACTACCAACCAGCTTCCGATATAAAGTAGGATTCTCAAGAAATTCTCCTTCATTTCGTCGATATTTGACAATAATTTTCATAAAAAATGTCAACAGATGTAGTGTTCGTGAGACCAGCTAATTTAATCAAATCATAAATATACTTTTGTTGATGCAGAAAAATACCTTGAGGTTGATGATGCACCTCTAACCCCAAGATATAGGTGATCTGCCCAAGATCTTTCATATGAAAAGAAGAGTCCAACAAATTTTGAATGTCAGATATTCTTTTGTTATTAGAACCAATGATAACAGTGTCATCAACATAAATAAGAAGTACAACTAAGCCCTTTGATTTCATTGGAAGAAAAAGTGAAGAGTCATACTGACTTTGAGTAAATGAAAAACCAAGAAAAGTGGATATGAACTTTTCAAACCATACGCACGGTGCCTGCTTCAAGTCATATAAAGAACATTTTAGTTTACAAACAACATTAGGTGAGGGAGTAGGCATACCATGTGG